CGGTTGGCTAGGGCTTGGTGCCGTATCTCAGGTATGAGACTCCGAATTCTTCTTCTTTCTCATTGAAATTGCTCCCCTTGTTCTATTGTTTCGTCCTTCCTCTGTTGCTCTCAGATATGACAATTTCTCCTCTCTTGCTCGTTTTCACAATATACGATTGAATGAAGAGTAAAATGTTAAAGGTTGTGATCTAATCCCCGCCAAGAGGTGCCTTTCCAAATGGACACTTTTTTTATTTATTATTATTATATTTAATTTTTTCTGTTATTACACCAGATAGCCACCACAATCCCCCTTTACTGTTGCCATCCTCTCCTTTTTCTCCTACAGTGCTGTCGTTCTGTCACGACCCTGCCCGGGGCTTGGAATTAACCAAGACAGGAATAGATGGTCGAACGGTGAAAACTAAATTTTCTATATTATACGCATGAGGGCACAACACCTATTCTTCCTCTTCCTTTGGTGCGAGCACAACACCGAATTTTCCTCCTTTGCTTTGCACAGTGGTAGTGCTCAAAGTCGCAGCCTCTTCCCTTTCTCCTCGATCGGTTGGCTAGGGCTTGGTGCCGTATCTCAGGTATGAGACTCCGAATTCTTCTTCTTTCTCATTGAAATTGCTCCCCTTGTTCTATTGTTTCGTCCTTCCTCTGTTGCTCTCAGATATGACAATTTCTCCTCTCTTGCTCGTTTTCACAATATACGATTGAATGAAGAGTAAAATGTTAAAGGTTGTGATCTAATCCCCGCCAAGAGGTGCCTTTCCAAATCGACACTTTATTTATTTATTATTATTATATTTATTTTTTTCTGTTATTACACCAGATAGCCACCACAATCCCCCTTTACTGTTGCCATCCTCTCCTTTTTCTCCTACAGTGCTGTCGTTCTGTCACGACCCTGCCCGGGGCTTGGAATTAACCAAGACAGGAATAGATGGTCGAACGGTGAAAACTAAATTTTCTATATTATACGCATGAGGGCACAACACCTATTCTTCCTCTTCCTTTGGTGCGAGCACAACACCGAATTTTCCTCCTTTGCTTTGCACAGTGGTAGTGCTCAAAGTCGCAGCCTCTTCCCTTTCTCCTCGATCGGTTGGCTAGGGCTTGGTGCCGTATCTCAGGTATGAGACTCCGAATTCTTCTTCTTTCTCATTGAAATTGCTCCCCTTGTTCTATTGTTTCGTCCTTCCGTGTCACTAATCAACTAAATGCAATAAAATCTAAATATTCAGAAACTACAATGTCATAATCGAAAGACAACATGTCAGACCAACGTACAAAGTATCTCTATAAAGTAAATAATAAAAGAAACTGCAATCATATCATAAACAAATACCTATCAGTAGCAATAATCTTGCTCCGCCTGTAAACCAAGTCTCTCATACCGGATATATTCCCTAAAGTTTTTCTTCTTCTAAAAGAAAATAATAATTACAAATGTAAGTATGACTTGATGAGTAATTATAATTTAATATACATTAAATTCTTGTACTTTGTTATGCATGAATAACAAAAAAAAATACAAATCATTTCATTAAAACTTTGAATTTCTCTTTTCGTTCCACTTTAAGTATTTATCATTTTTAACCTATTTATTAAGCATCACAACATTACCGTCATACCTAAAAGTATTCTCAAAATATACTGAAGGTATCCTCAAATCGCATTCGAAGGTACACCTTTGCTATTTTTTTTTAACGTGCAAGTCTACATTGTATTCTAATAATTTTTTTTTAACGTGCAAGAATTATCATCGGATTTTTCACTCCTCCCAATCTAAATAAATTTAATAACATTACTTAATTTAACTAATTACTTCATTAATTTCATTAATAATATAAGGTTTAATATTTATCTTACAGGTTTTCAGGTCTATCACCTCCCTATACATGTTTTATAAAACTCTCATTCAAAGTTGAAATCTCTGTATTAGAATCCTGATTAAATTTGACATTACATTTAAACACTAAAACTTGCAAATTTGTTAAATAGCTTAATAAAAACCCTCACATACCTTAAAATCCTTTGGTTGTCTGTAACTCTTCTCCTTCCCTCGCATGAAATTCGCGTCACCTGTTTCTCTTAATTTTTTTTATTTATTAGTTTCAATTGTGATATCACATACAATTAAGTTTAATAAAATAATTTATTAAAAAAAATTATAAACCTCACTTTACTATGTTGTCTGCTCTCAGATATGACAGTTTTTCCTCTCTCGCTCGTTCTCACCAGATACGATTGAATGAGGAGTAAAATGGTAAAGGTTGCGATCTAATCCCGGCCAAGAGGCACCTTTCCAAATCGACGCTTATTTTTATTTATTATTATTATATTTAATTTTTTCTATTATTACACCAGATAGCCACCACAATCCCCCTTTACTGTTGCCATCCTCTCCTTTTTCTCCTACAGTGCTGTCGTTCTGTCACGACCCTGCCCGGGGCTTGGAATTAACCAAGACAGGAATAGATGGTCGAACGGTGAAAACTAAATTTTCTATATTATACGCATGAGGGCACAACACCTATTCTTCCTCTTCCTTTGGTGCGAGCACAACACCGAATTTTCCTCCTTTGCTTTGCACAGTGGTAGTGCTCAAAGTCGCAGCCTCTTCCCTTTCTCCTCGATCGGTTGGCTAGGGCTTGGTGCCGTATCTCAGGTATGAGACTCCGAATTCTTCTTCTTTCTCATTGAAATTGCTCCCCTTGTTCTATTGTTTCGTCCTTCCTCTGTTGCTCTCAGATATGACAACTTCTCCTCTCTTGCTCGTTTTCACAATATACGATTGAATGAAGAGTAAAATGTTAAAGGTTGTGATCTAATCCCCGCCAAGAGGTGCCTTTCCAAATGGACACTTTTTTTATTTATTATTATTATATTTAATTTTTTCTGTTATTACACCAGATAGCCACCACAATCCCCCTTTCCCACTTTATTGTTGTCATCCTCTTCTTTTTCTTCTACAGTGTCGTCGTTCTGCCACGACCCGTCCTTTGGCTTGGAATTAATCAAGACAGAAATAGACGGTCGAACTGTGAAAACTAAATTTTCTATATTTATCTACAATTTAGTTAATGAAAGAGCCACTAATCAAATTAAAATAAGATATTTAAAATTTTCTCGTTACTAGTTGTCTGAATTTTTTATAATTATTCTCTTCGACTTCTAATGCTCTTTATTAATTACTTAATTAACCTGAAAAGTTAGTTTAAAATAACAATGAGTTGAATAAGCCAACAGATACTCATATTCCTAAATGACAGTAATACAATGGAAAAAAAACCAACAATATGCATTTCAATTCAAATTTCAAATTTTTAATAAATCAATATATATATTTGACATGTTATTCAATAAATCTTATCATGTCAATATCATTCTATATGTGTATAACCGTTACATGAGCTTTATTTAAAATTTTGTACCACTTAAGTGCTTCAATATCAATATTCTTTTTCATTTACGTGCACGTGTGCCTTAGTGTTCCCCTACTAGTACCATCAATGGGTGACTCAATCATAGCCGATCATGCACATAAAATCAATCTATACAAGTAATATCATTCATAATTTCATATCACTATAATGCATTAAATATTACATAATATGAGATTGTAAGCATTCTCATCGAAATTAGTACTCCTATTTAAGGCATATAAAACAATTTAATTGAAATTTATAGTATCATTAAATGAATATTCCTCCTCGATCGGTTGGCTAGGGCTTGGTGCTGTATCTCAGGTATGAGACTTCGAATTCTTCTTCTTATTTCTCATTGAAATTGCTCCCCTTGTTCTATTGTTTCGTCCTTCCTCTGTTGCTCTCAGATATGACAACTTCTCCTCTCTTGCTCGTTTTCACAATATACGATTGAATGAAGAGTAAAATGTTAAAGGTTGTGATCTAATCCCCGCCAAGAGGTGCCTTTCCAAATGGACACTTTTTTTATTTATTATTATTATATTTAATTTTTTCTGTTATTACACCAGATAGCCACCACAATCCCCCTTTCCCACTTTATTGTTGTCATCCTCTTCTTTTTCTTCTATAGTGTCGTCGTTCTGCCACGACCCGACCTTTGGCTTGGAATTAACCAAGACAGAAATAGACGGTCGAACGGTGAAAACTAAATTTTCTATATTTATATACAATTTAGTTAATGAAAGAGCCACTAATCAAATTAAAATAAGATATTTAAAATTTTCTCGTTACTAGTTGTCTGAATTTTTTATAATTATTCTCTTCGAATGCTCTTTATTAATTACTTAATTAATCTGAAAAGTTAGTTTAAAATAACAATGAGTTGAATAAACTATTGAATACTTATACTCATAAACAACATTGATACAAGAGAAAAGTAATATGCATGCAGCCAAATTTTTAATAAATAAAAAAAATATTTGATGCTATCCAAAGAATCTTTCTATGTTAAAAGTATATCAATATCATTTTATATCAGTACAACTCTCAGAGAAATATTGTTTAAAAAAATGTCTCAATTAAGACATGTCAATATCAATATTCTTTTGCATTTACGTGCATGAGTACCTTAATGTTCCCCCATTAAAACCATTAAAGGATGACTCTATTATAGTCAGTCATGCACATACAAACAGTCAACATAAACATATATCAATCTATACAAGTAATATCATTCATAATTTTATATCACTATAATGCATTAAATATTACATAATATGAGATTGTAAGCATTCTCATCGAAATTAGTACTATTTAAGGCATATAAAACAGTTTAATTGAAATTTATAGTATCATTAAATGAATATTATACCCTGAAAATAAGCATTAAATTGTTTTGCCTTCACGCCTTCTCCTCTGAAATTGAATGGCTAAAATAAATATGATATTCATATTAAAATTTAAGTTATTGCATGCTTATTTTTCTATTCATATATATATATATATAGCTTCTCACCCTCTTATCCTCCGACTCGAGTCTTCCTCGTTCCAGTATGCGCTTCCCATCCTCGCCAGCTCCCACCGCAAGTGGTTCGCAAGCCGCTTAACTTACCTTGAGGTTACTAGTTTGACTTTGATAGCCATGTATCTTCAGTTTTACTTCAATGATAACGGGGACAAGGTCTACACCACCAAGAAAGAATCGCCACTTGTTATAGTGACAGAATCTGCTCATCCAGTGCGCTTCTCCCCCGGTGACAAGTACTCTAGGCAGCGCGTTCTTCTCAAGAAACGATTTGGTTTGCTTCCCACCCAGAAACCACCACTTCAGTACCAAGGAGTATTCTGCTTTATAGATGTGTTTTTACCCCGATTACTCTTACTGTAACAGAATCTCTGTTAAAGGTTCTTAATTTATTTTGTATGCTGATCTTATGGCCTACTTTTTATGAAGTCTTCCAATGGAATATATGTATTTGATAACAGTTTCATAAATTTTCTTTAGATATTGGAATCTATGATATTTTATTTTATTAACTATTCCATAATATATATATATAATAATAATAATAATAATTATTATTATTATTATTATTATTATTATTATTATTATTATCTTGCCTCTTATGCTGAACAATGCACGAGGGATCTCCCCCGTCTCTTCTCCGACACCAAGTTTCTCGCGGAACAACAAGAAACTTATGTGATGCGTCCTTCCTCTTCTATGCTCATCATCGAAGTCGCCTCCTCCACTTGACAGAGACGCCGCTTCTATTTTAACCCTAGAATCATGCTCCTTTTTTTCACATGCCGCTCGACTCCCAATTAAGTCGGTCAGCGACTTACATAGGCGAATTCACCTATTCGTCTTCCTGACCTCCATCTCTTCCTCTCCCACTCTCCTCACTTTCACTTCTTTAGCTTCTAACATTTTATTTTATTAACTATTCCAAAATATATATATATAATAATAATAATAATAATTATTATTATTATTATTATTATCTTGCCTCTTATGCTGAACAATTCACGAGGGATCTCCCCCGTCTCTTCTCCGACACCAAGTTTCTCGCGGAACAACAAGAAACTTATGTGATGCGTCCTTCCTCTTCTATGCTCATCACCGAAGTCGCCTCCTCCACTTGACAGAGACGCCGCTTCTATTTTAACCCTAGAATCATGCTCCTTTTTTTCACATGCCGCTCGACTCCCAATTAAGTCGGTCAGCGACTTACATAGGCGAATTCACCTATTCGTCTTCCTGACCTCCATCTCTTCCTCTCCCACTCTCCTCACTTTCACTTCTTTAGCTTCTAACTCGTCGTTTCATCTCCTTCGATCCTTCGTTTCTTCTCCCGGGTAATTGAAACCGGACGTTACACGTCCTCTCCTTTCTCCGTCGTCAGCCTTAGCCCACCCAACAAAATCTTCCAACAAGGTGGCTACCCTCTAACCTAACTCCTGCAGCTATCACTTTCTCCCTTCTATTGGTATCAATGTAAAAATGGGGAGGTTCCTAAAAAAAAAAAGAAGTAAAAAAAAATAGTATAAAAAAAGACTTTTAAAAAGAGACATAAAACTGAAAGAAGTGTTGGACCAATTTTATTCCATAATCATCTCATTGGTATCTTCATTGTTGACATGACCTGCAGCACCATAGTTATAAATTAAAAAAAAGAGAAGCTCCTATGACACTTAAATACCCGTACATATCTTTGTAGTTGTCAAATTCTGACCCTTTGTATTGAAACTCATTCAAAATTCTAAGCTTGATTTTTTTATTTTTTTGTTAAATTTTAGCGGTTTGATTGTAGGATGTTAGTTTTTTAAATATGGTAACTTTGGTGCATGCGCCTAATTTCTCCTTCTATTAATCGTTTCATGCACTGAGTACTTGAAGGGTTAGAGTATATTTAGGAGAAATTGTCCATTCTGCTTTAATGTTTGTCCTAAACTTGTGATGTCGAATATATGATCAATTATCCACTATAAGACACTGGTGTATCACCATTCAGGTATTACTTATGATCTTGTGGCCATTAACTGGGTGCATCAAAGGGTTTCATGTTGATTTTCGTTACCTTTTTTCTTCATGAAGATGAACTTTTAAACCCTCGTAATCAGTGAAATTAAACTTTAGCATATTTGATATTCAGAGTTTAGAAAGAAATAGTTTTGGTCTTTTTTTTTTTTTTTTTTTTTTTTTCATCCGAAGTGAGCGTATGACTGATATTAAAATGATCCTTGAACTCCCATTTTTCATCCGAAGTGAGTGTATGACTGATATTAAAATGATCCTTGAACTCCCATAGATTTTCACCTATAGCGTTAAAATGGATGAGGGAGATTTTGCGTTTGAAGGTAGTTGGCTGAAAAGTGTATCTCATTTTGCCATACAGTAAGCTCAGCCTGGGCTAGGTTCTAGGTCTCCATAAACTAACATAGCGCTACTTAGGGCTTGTTTGGGATCACTTTTGTTTTTTGTTTTTAATTTTTTTTTAATTTTAAAAATATGTTTGTTTAGTGCATTTTTTACATGTTTTTATTTTTTGTTTTAAAAATAAAATACCTTGTTTTTAAAAACACTCAAAACATGTAAAAGTTGTTTTGAGTGTTCTTAAAAACATTATACAGGAAATATAATACCAAACATGTTTTGTCTGAAATCAAAATATAAACAAAACAAAAAATAGAAAATTAAAAACAAATGTGATTCCAATCGGCTGAAAGTATAGTTTTTCTTATATCTATGTGGAGCATGCTTTATCTTGTAAATCCTTGGCAGGGTTCTTGCTTTTTTTTTTAATCTTTTTTTGCTTACAGAAGCTGTTTTAGTTGTCAGAACCTTTATTTAGTTGTCAATATTTATTACAGATGAACAAGGAAGTTGTGGAAGTCCATTCAATGATAAATCTTCTTAGTGATGGTCCCAGTTCGAAAGAAATACGGACAGTTAATATTAACGGGTAAATTCTAGCTTGTTTTTTTTGCTGTTCTACATCTTTTGATGCTTTGATTTTAGCAATCCAATTAATGCTAATGGGCCTAATTTCACGTTATCTATTTTCTTTTTCTTTCATTTTATAAAATATATTAACTGCAGAAGTTTGAAATACCGTCCTTTTGGTTGGTATTAACTATTTATTCATTGTAAGAGGTGACCATGCATTCTTGTATCTTATCATATCTAAGCAAAATTAAAATTCATAATTCATTCTAATAACCTCTTTTCAATCCCTTTTAATTAGTGTCCAAGGTGCTTAAATATTAAATTTAAGTGATGTTACATTTTTTTGTCAATCAGCTGATGCCGTTGCGAGTGCTAGCTTATTTTTGATCAACTTTGTCTTTGGTATATTTGTTAAACATTGTAAACTGCAGCATGAATTGTCTTGTTAATACATTATGTGATGCCTAAGTGATAACAATAATCTGCAGTTCTCCATGCTCATTACCAAACAGTAACTCAGATGCTACTAACATAATTTGTTTGTCCTGCCACCTTTTGTCTTCAATCACATGCTTTACGTCTATTTAATAATATTAACTATATAAGATAGTTGGAATTCATTATATAAATTCTTGTAGCTCATTTAGAAATATCAAAGTTTTAATTTTAATTAAGACTAATCTTGCCCGTGGTATGCTACTGAGATATTTTCTTATTTGATATGTACTTAATGCAAATTTGTCCACTTCTGTAGGTGTTTGCCATCCTCAGAAAGGGGAAAGAGCACAACGTCTTTGAACGGTGAAGCTGCTATGTTTCTTGTTAGCATGCTCAGGTTGTACTTTATGCAACTTTATATGCATGAATGCTCAATCTCCGACTTCCATTAATTCATATGCACCTAGATATGTAATCTTTAAGGTTAGAAATAAACACACCTAATGAATATGCATGTTCATGTACATACATTTGTGCATGCTAATACAACCATGTTTTAGCACATATGTATGTAATGTTAAGCTTAGCAGTGAATAGAAGAATACATAATCAATTATTGTCAAATAGAATTCATGGCTAGTTAGTACAGCATGTGACCTTTGCAATTCGAGTAAGCGAGTTCCATATACATTGTTCTTTCTTTTCTAATTGTCATTTTTTGTTTTTGATGTATTCCTTATTGTCAGTCTGTTTACTTTGTTACTATTCCTTTTCCTGCATCTGATGATTTATTTTTGCGCAGAAAATTTTTGGTGCCAATAGAAAGCATTCCTTTCCATGAAATTTTCTGCTTTAAAGACGTTGCTTCCCTAAAGTCAGTAAGTATGCCATTTAATTTCATTATATACTGATGTCTCCTAATATTTTATATGCACAAGTTTCGCAGTCATTTTTTAGGTTTAGGACTTCAAAAGAAATAATTTAGTTTAGGTCCATTGGATAAAAAATCTAAAACAATTATAGTAACTAAGCATTGAAATATCATACAGTGTGTTCAATTATAGCTAATTTAAAAATTAGTCTGTTTCAAAAAATTGATTTAAGGATATTAATTGAAATATTATACAATGTGTTCAATGATAACTAATTTATATATGGTTACCCTTGATTTTAGGATATTAATCATATTAAAAAAACTCCTTGTACTGTACAATATACGTTACAAAGTTAGATTTGTTTAATCTAATCATGGAACTTATTATAGTGGTTTAAATGTTTAAATTAAATTGATAATGCAATACAATTATGCAATTACCTTTGTACAGTTTTATCATTTTTTTTTAAATTTTATTAACTACTGCAAATTAGTTTGTTTAAAAAAATTAATTTAAGGCTTATTGATTAGTATAATATGTGATGCGTTACAACCTTTTGAGATCAATTTAAAATTATCCGTCTAAAAAATCTTATTTCTTAAGCTTTATGTTCGGTTTGGTTGCCTTAAAAGCTGCATATCTGTAATACATAAAAGTAAAATTTTTGAAAAATTGGAACAAAAATACATTTAAGGAGCTTGTAACTTCAGCCTTTTTTTCTTTGCTAGCATGAAATTTCGAATTTCATGTATTCTTTGAATTTCAATATATATGAGTAAGCTAGGTTCTTTCTTGAAGTCTTTGTATGTTCTTTGAGCATGCTTAACCTTTGAATTATTTTATTTTAATGAATACTTGCATTATTAGTATTCAAACCTGCACAAAAAAATGTCAGTAAAATCGTTAATCAATCAATATTTATCATCATTGTAGCACTATAATAAGCTCATGGGGTCAACATCTCTTTCTTCTAGATGGTCCAAGCGTTCTATTACTACTTTCAAACTGTCGCAGATCTGCCCTTAACTATTTTCTATAGGCTTCTTCTCTCACTGAAGAAGCAGCACTGGATTGGGTTTAGTTTCCATACTGCTTGCACTCTGTGATCATTTATTGTTTTATTTCTTTGGTCTTCGGGAATTCAATGACCCTTATTTTATAATTTGCCTTTATTCTTTCAACAAGTCTCAGTTCCACCTCAACGTAAGCAACCCTCTACTTTTTCAAACTTGGCCGTTTGTCATAGGACAAAGCTATTCCTTTCTACATCCTGTGCATGTCTAGTTTAAAAGAATACCAATTGAAAGAGGCTTGAGGAACATTTTTGACATATTCGATTTTAGTAAATCTACTAAACATCTGGAGGTTCTACTGGTATAGAAGAATTATTATATAAAATTTGAAATGAACATTTGAAACACTTGCCTTTTATTTTCATAATATTTTCTTACTTTCGGCAATTCTTCTCTATAATGAATTAATGGAGCTTTTTTTTAGTTATTTGGGCAAATTGACCATTTAAATTGGAAATAAATACCACAAGTCTTATTTAATAGCTTGTATACTTTTGTACATGACAATCATAAATTTAAACACTAATTTATATGAAGAATGTTTGCTTTATTATCATTAATCACAAATATGTTACAATACATATACTAGCTTTATATTTAGTAGCCATCTGTCATGAATTGGCTCGGAGCTTGGAATTAACCAAAATGGGAACAGACGGTCGGACGGTGAAATTAAATTTTCTATCACTAATAGTTTAATATTTAAAATTTGTTGAAATAGCCACTAAAAACATAATTTAATTAACAAATAAAATTTTTATGTTTCAATTTGCTGACCTCGCCTTCTGTGCAAAAGATCTCTTCTAGTATTCATTTTATTCGAAAAGTTAAAAAAAAAGAAAAATATTCAAAACAACGAAATGAGTTATCTAAGATAATCAAGGGGAGCAATTATGCTTTTATACTATAGTAGCGCGCGCGCACACACACACACACACACAGATAGAGATAGATATATATATGTATGTAGGTTTCTACTAATATATTCTAAAAATTCATATAATGGTTTGTAATATCTATATATACTTGATGTTTGCTCATGGACAAAATCTATAATTTCTACATGTATTCTCTTTTATATTACTTTTTAAGGTGTAATCTCTTGAACTTTAGCATACATCATACTCTTACTTTCATATCTTTATTTGGAGCGCCGTCAAAATATAAACAAACACGTTCCGTGCCAATATTATCCCTTTGACATAGCGGTTTGTGAGCTTCCGTGCCAATATTATCCCTTTGACATAGCGGTTTGTGAGCTAAATTACATAATTATTTGAGGTGGAAAGATGTCTACTTGCCTCTAGCCAATATTCTTCCATTGACACAACAATTAGCAATCCAAATATCATAATTATATGGGGTGGTAGGAAAACATCAATGCGTGCGGGTACACTGGCGTTTCCAGCCTGTACCAGTAGTGAATTCATTCTTTTAGCATGCACATATCAACATTCTTATATACACTATTTAATTCTTCGTATCATACTTT